GGGAGCAGAACGCCTCATCATTCTCCCACAGAATAGTTGGTACTTTTGAACTGCTGACCCTGAGGTTAGCAGCCCAATTTGTAACCGGTAGAAGGACCTAAACGAGCCAAATTAGGAACTGAGACTTCACCCATCCTGAGGGTGGTAGGGTGACCGTGTAAACAGGAGAGGGAGCTAATCAGAGTTGAGTCCTGGGAAGACTGGGGAATGAGAAAATGGAGGCTCTGGCTTAATCAGAGGATGAAGGGAAGAATATGAATTTGAACCCATACAGACGTAAAGTCTAAACACAGCCTGGTGCCTGGCACATAAACAAACAACAACAAAACAACCTGTAACCATCAGGTTGAGACTGACTCATGGACACCCCGTGTGTTACAGAGCAGAACTGCTCCATAGCGTTTCGTTGACGGCGATCTTTATGGAAGTAGAACACCAGGCCTTTCTTCCTTGGAAATACTGGGTGAGTTCAAACCTCCAACCTTTCAGTTAATAGTCAAGTGCAAACCGTTTGTGCGATGTAAGGAGCTCCTGGATCGTAGCGAGACTACAACAAAAACCATGCTGCCCCTCTCAGCTATGTGACTCTCTTGAGTGACTCAGCTGCCTCCTTTAGATATGGGGGGATTCAGTTCCGTCCCCTCCCTGCTGCTGTCAGACATACTAAGTGAGCCCCTCACAGAGCAAGTGCTGGGCACAGCATCAAGGGAGCCCCGCCCCTGTCCTCACCTGAAGCAGGACACACAGTCCAGTGCCACGAGGCTACCCAGTCCAGTGGGGTCGATGCCAGTGTTGCGGAGGTCCAGGGAGAAGGCTTGGCCGGACGTCTCCAAGGCCCCACCCAGCACATGGGCGTCGGGGGGTGTGAGCCGGGTGCCCAGGAAGGAGAGGTGGGCTGGGAGCCCCTCCACCACATGCTGCCAGAGCTCCTGGTCCCCCGCCTCGTGGAGACAGTGCAACAACTCCAGCAGTGGCCTGGCCCGCAGTGTCCCAGTCTGCAGCCGCCTCAGGTACCGAGTGAGCACCTGGCGCTTCCTGTCCACCTGGGGGCCCACCGCCGACCCCACCAGGGCTCCCAGGCCAAGGGAGGGTGGCTGGAAGAGCAGCCCAGTTAGGAAGCAAGGTACACCCTCCAGCCAGTTGTCATACGGCCGCTTCTTGCGTGGGGTCAAGGCCAAATACTGCAGCAGCTCCTTGTCCTTGATATCACTGCTCAGAGCCAGCCACACTGCTCCCAGGAAGCACTGCACCAGGAAGCTGGAGAAGGCCAGCTCAGCCTCTGGGAGCCCTGGGCAGGCTTGCAGCAGGCCTCTGGCCAGGGCCCAGGCCTTAGCCTCTGCTGATGGCAGCTGGGCCTCCCCCAGGGTGTTGCGGTGTCTTCGGCCCAGCTCCCAGGCCAGCTTGGCCAGCCCCACTAGGGCCCCTGGGGGACTGTCACAGGCAGCTGGGCCTAACAGGCCAACGAAGAGCCCTGTGAGTGTGGAGGGCAGCTGGGTCCTGTCATCTAGCCCCACCAGGGTTTGGCAGAGTTGGCACACAGCCCGGCACAGTGCGGGGCTGTAGCTATGGCTGAGGAGGAACGGTTGGTTACGGAGCAGCTTCAGGGCACTCTCTTGGTGCTCAGTAGAAGGCTCAAAGAAGCGTGTCACGCAGGCCTCGGCCTGCTCGGCAGAGAAGCCAGTCATCTCTAAGAGCCTGTCCGCCTTGGCCAGGCTCTGGGCTAGGCGGCCCCGCGGCCGGGCTGTGAGCAGCAGCGTGCAGCCCTGGAGCAGCCTACGCTGGCAGAGGCCGGCGAGCAGTCCCCGGAGGGAGCAAGGCTCCATGGGCGGAGGGCCATCCTGGGCTTCGAGCTCCTCGAAGGCATCCAGAATGATCAGGAGGCGGTTAGGCTGCCTCAAGATGTGACGGAAGACCTCATCGTCTCCTGGTGGCGATGGCGGGGGTCCTGGGGCAAAGAGCAGGTCCTGTAGGCGGTAGGTGTCCCCTGGACGGTCCAAACAGTAGCAGGGCACATAGAAGACAAAGTCGTACTGCGGCAGCTGACCACGGGCCCAGGCCCGGCTCACGGCCTGGGCCCAGCAGCTTTTGCCTTGTCCTGCCTTGCCCAGCACAGCGATCACCTGCGTCTCACGCCGCCGTCGGGGCTCACCAGCAGCCAGCAGCACCTCTGCCAGACCCCCTTGGGTCAGCCGCCTCGCAGCCCAGTTCTGGGTGGCTAGCTCCCTCTCCTGGCCCTTGCTACTGCTCCTCTCCAGTCGTGTCCACACCAACTCTACCTCCACCAGCTCATCATCCGGGCCTGTGGGCTGGGCCAGATAGCGTTCCCGCAGCGAGTGATAGAACCGCTCCACCGCCTCTGCAAGGACAGGGCATGGGGCACCGAGGGAGAGAATGACCACCTGAGGGCAGCGCTGCCCTGTCACTAGCTTCTCCTCCCACCTCCAAGCACACGTCTTTCTGTCTTCTTTCTGGCTGCCTCCTTCAGTCATCCAAACAGTTGCCTGTCCCTATCTACCCTGTGCACAGAGTGGATAGCATTGAAACTTGATTTGAAGACTCTTTCCCTCTCTGTTGGTATTTAGAGTAACTACCGCTCTGAGTATAGGTCAGGTTCATCATGAAGATGTATCTTCTGTCATTATAGCTGTTCCAGTCTGCTTGTCCTTTCTAGTAGGAATGTCTCACCTCACAAGGTTGTGGATGGGACTCAGGATTCCACCTAAGGTCCTATACTTTGTAAAGGCTTTGCATGAGGCCTATTTCACTGGGCAAGTTGTAGAACCCTTTTTAGGTATTCCAATCAGTTATAGGCTGAAGATGGGCTTACAAGTTTTCTCTAATCATGTTTCCCAACATTCCTTCCTATCCCACTCAAGTGTCTATTTTACAACAGTAGGCAAGGGAAACTAATATTCATAAGACAGTCAAGGATTTTAGTATTATTTCCCCTCTTCAAACTATTTATTTAAAAAAATTAATGGAATAATAAGAACCCTCCCCCCATAAAAATGAGTGATAGAATAAAGGCTAAAAAGGTGGAGAAAATAAATGAGTTAGTGAATGAATGGATGAGTGAGCCAACAAAGAAGGAACTTTGTAAACGTGGAGTGGCCTAAGAGGTGAAGCAAATCCAGACTTGGGCGTCTGTCTGCAGCCTCCCACCCACCGGAGCAGAGGGTTCACCTTACCACTTACCAGGCCATTTGGGGATCTTGCTGGAGACCTTGAGATCTGCTGGGCTTTGGTTGGGGGACAGCACATCCTCTGGACATGAAGAAGCGGATATCAGAGTTAGAGTAAGTGACCCCAGGGACTTCCTCCCTCTGAGCATTCAGATCTCTGGGCTTGAGGAGACCAGCCAGCCCAGAGAGTAACCCACCGGAGCTGAGCCCCAACAGAACCAGAGCTACAAGATAATGACCCAAAATGAATCTGGCTCAAAGATGTCTTTCTTTGATCAGCTGTACTTTAAAAAATCAAGTTATGTTAATATATATAAATATTCAAACCCACACAGGACCTTCAAGAAGTTCCTGGAAAAAAAAAATCCATTCTCTTTTAATTCCAGTTTTCCACAAAGTTTCTGAAGCCCCCTCATGTATATGTGTGAGTACATATATACACACATACTGTTGTTGAGTGTGATCAAGTCAGTTCCAACTCAAAGCCACCTTGTATAGGGTTTCTGAGGAGCATGTGGTGGGTTTGAGCCACTGACCTTGAGGTCGAGTACTTATCCTAGAGTGCCATAACAGGACTCCATATACATACAGCAACCCTATATAGGGTGTTCCAACAACAGTGACATATATAAGATTTGCCATTTTAACCATTTGTAAGCTTGCACACTTCAGTGGCATTAGTGGCATTCAGCATGCTATGCAGCCACGACGACTATTGTCCGTTTCCAAATGTTTTCATTCCCCCAAAGAGAAACTTGGTGCCTCTTCAACAGCAACTCCCACTCTCTCCTCACTGCACCCCTGGGGATCACTAATAAACTTGGGTCTCAATGCGTGACCCTGTTCTGGACATTTCATATGAGTCGGATCATACGTGTGTCCTTTGGTGTCTGACTGACTTCACTCATCACCATGTTCTGACTGTTCGTCCATGGCACAGTGTCTATCACCATGGTCTGACTGTTCATCCATGGCACACTTGGTTTCTCTTTGTGGTAGAAGAACATTTTGTTACATGGATAGATCACATTTTGTCCATCCATCTCATTCATATATGGTGATGGGTTCTGGGTTGATTCCACTGTTTTTGGCTTGCTGTACTTTCAGAGATTTAACTAATATGTTGAAAATTGCAATCTTGCTGGGAAAATCTAGATTTTCAGATTCTCCTGACAAATCAAATCTGGCCAAACTGGGCCTTCCTTCCTGCTTTGCAGGACACCAAGCAGCTGAGGTTGTGAGTGGGTCATGGATTGTTTCCCCTTTGAACTCCTCCACCCCTGGACACTCTCCCTGCCTTCTTTCACCCGTGAGCCAGCCCGGTTCAGTCACTGCCAATGAAATGACACTGGAATGGACCAGAAACTTTACATGAGGATGAACCACAACTGGAAGGGAGAAAATTATGGGTTAAAGCCCTGTTAGAAAGTTAATCTCCCTCTCAGAAAACAAGAGCCAGATTCATGTTGCATAGTAGCCCAATCTTGACCAAGTGAGTTGAAAACAACAGTGCCCAGCTCAAAGGTGGCGGCTATCCACACCACTTTGAGTGTATCATTGTCCACGGCCTTGGCAATCATCCAATCTCCCCCATTGGTTTCCTGAGAGGCCTCGTTGTGTGTGGACCTCTTCCAAGTCTCCCACTCCAGGGCTTTGATCCATACTTTTTTCTATTCTGATTATCATTCTGGATCACCGAAATTTTTAACGTTCTGGTCCAATTTAGTTGGTTATGATAACCTGTCTGAACCAGGTTGAAGCCCTGTCTTGAACAGAGCCTGCCTGACCCTGCAGGCAGTGGTTTGTGGACCTGGCTGAGGCAACTCCTTCCCTCAGGGCCTCAACCCTGCCTCCAGAAATTCTCACTGGACTAGTCTTGTGGTTCTTACCTGGCCTGTTTGTGCGGGAGGTCAGGGCTGGCTCGGGCATGCTGGGCAGGTCAGTGGCTGATGGGGCAAAGGGACTGGTGGATCCCGGCCGTTCTGGAGACTTGGGGAGGCTGTGGACAGTTACACTGCTGGAAGGGGGCACTGGGCTGGCCTGGTGTATTGCACCTAAAATGGGAGGAAGAATGGTAGCAGAAAAACCAGGAATTCATCAAGGAATTTCCCCCAACCAGGCTGTAGGCAGAGGGGAGGGGCATTTCCCAAGGCAGGCATTTCAGGATGCTGCTCAGGAAATAGCTCTGGAGGTGAGCTAGTTTCCAGAGCCTCAGTCTCTCCATCAGTACAATGGATACAATAGCAGTGTCTAGCTCATAGATACTACTTGTCTGTCAGTGTGTCGTACTGCTGTGGCTTGTGTGATGCAGGAAGCTATGCCATCAGTATTTTAAATACCAGCAGGGTCACTCATGGTAGACAGGTTTCAACCGAGCTTTCAGACTAAGACAGACTAGAAAGAAGGAAAGGTGGACTACTTCTGAATGTTCAGCCACTGAAAACCTTATGAATAGCAATGGAACATTGTCAGACACACAATACCAGAAGTTGACAACATTTATGAATGTTGTTGTTGATTGGTGCCATCGAGTTGGTACCAACTCATTGTGACCCTATGCACAACAGAATGAAACACTGTCCGGTCCTGGGCCAACCTCAAAATTGGTGCTATGCTTGAGCCCACTGATGCGGCCACTTGGCCAATCCATCTTGCTGGGGTTCTTCCTCTTTTTCTCTGACCGTTCACCTTACCAAACATGATATTCTTCTCCAGTGACTGGTCCCTCCTGACAATATGTCTGAGGTATGAGAGATGAAGTTTGGCCATCTTGGCCACCAAGGAGCACTCTGACTGCACTTCTTCTAACAGATCTGTTTGTTCTTTTGGCAGTCCATGGCACTTTCAATATTCTCCTCCAACACCATAACTCAAATGCATCAATTCTTCTACGGCCTTCCTTATTCACTGTCCAGCTTTCACATGCATATGAGGCTATTGAAAATACCATGGCTTGGGTCAGGCGCACCTTAGTCCTCAAGCTGACATCTTTGCTCTTCAACACTTTAAAAAGGTCTTGTGCAGCAGATTTGCCTAAAGCAATAAGTCGTTTGATATTTTGACTGCTGCTTCCATGAGTGTTGATGATTGATCCAAGAAAAATGAAGTCTTTGGCAACTTCAATCTTTTTTCTGTTGATAAGAATGTTGTTTATTGGTCCAGTGGTGAGGATTTTTGTTTTCTTTACACTGAGATGCAATCCATATTGAAGGCTGTGGTCTTTGATCTTCATCAGTAAGTATTTTAAGTCCTCTTCACTTTCAGCAAGCAAGGTTGTATCATCTGCATACCACAGGTTGTTAATGAGTCTTCCTCCAATCCTGATGCCACGTTTTTCTTTATATAATCCAGGTTCTCGGATTATTTGCTCAGCATGCAGGTTGAATAAGTATGGTAAAAGAATACAACCCTGCCGTACACCTTTCCTAATTTTAAACCATTCAGTGTTCCCCTGTTCTGTTCAAACAACTGCCTCTTGGTCCATGTATCCATATCCATATCCCTCATTCCATGGCCTCTTCTGAATCCGGCTTGAACCTCTGGAAGTTCTCTGTCAATGTATGCTTGCAACTGTTTCTGTGTTAACTTTAGTAAAACTACTCTCATGAGATATCAAAGATTCTGTCTGATGATTTCCGCATTCCGTCGAGTCACCTCTCTTTGGAATGGGCACAAATACGGATCTCTTCCTATCAGTTGGCCAGGTAGTTGTCTTCCAAATTTCTTGGCAGAGATGAGTGAGTGCCTCCAGTGCCGCCTCACTTTGTTGAACCAGAACATTGGCAGATATGGTGCCAAAGCAGCCATGGGCTCAAGTTTAACACTGGTGTGGATGGCGCAGGGCTGGGCAATTTTTGTTCTGTTGTGCACGGGTTTGCTATAACTCGATGGCACCTAACAATGACAACAAGAAAGCTCACGGGGCGTTTCAGGTAGCTGCTACTATAGCACTCCTGCTGCTCTGTGCTCCACGTTCCTCACCATGGGAGCCCCAGAGCATGATCAAGACACTGGCACGTGATCTTGAAAACATGCTCCTGAAGTGGAATGGATGCAGCCCCTGGAGAGAGAGGTTTGTTATGGTGAACATGTTTCAGAGAAGCTTCCAGACTAAGAAGCACTAGGAAGAAAGACCTGGAGATCTACTTCCCCTAAAAAATCTGCCACTGAAAGTCCCCTGGATCACTGCAGTCTCATCTGTACTGGATCCTGGGGGATGGCAGGTGACTGGGAAGCGTTGTGTTCTGCTGTGCACAACAGGGTTGTTGTGAGTCAGGGCTGAGCCAGCGGCAGCTAACAACAAGAACTCCTATACTAAGGATGGCAGCTGTTCCTTTTAAAATATTTGCAAGCAGACAAGCCTTCCAGAGTCAAAGACAGGATTGTTCTTGGAGGAATTTAAAAAAGAAACAATAAAATCTGTTGTGGTGGGGGCAAAGTACACAAAGCCCTAGAACTAAGGATTGCCACTTTAGCAGACATACAAGGCTGTTTAGGGTACAACTGAGGAGATATGGGTGGAGATGTCAGTGAGGGTTCTCTGGCAGGGGCACCTGGAATACAGAACCAAGATGGTTAGCTTTTGCTCTAATACAGAGCATCAGTTGTAAAGTGAACCATTACTTCTCTTACATCTGTTTTATATATAATGTGGTGCTGTAGGAAAAGCGCTCGACTGTAATGTCGATTTGAACCACAAGATCGGCAGTTCAGATCCACCAGCCGCTCCTCGGAAACCCTATACAGGGTCGCTATGAGTCAGAACCGACTTGACAGCACTTAACAACATACAGGAGAAAGACCTGGTGAGTTACAAGTTAAATAAGTAAACAGACAGAGAAAGATAAAGAGAAAGCTAAGGGTCTCAGGGGGAAAATAGCTCATGGAAGGCCACACTGCTGCTTGGTGAGTTTTTGGTCATTCATCCAGACCATGCAGGGGCAGGGCGGGGTGGGTGGGGTAGGATAGATCTTCCTTAGCTCTGAGTTTTGGGAAGTGGGAAAAGAGGGTTGTGTGCTGGGAAGAAAGGGTGTGAGACTCTGACTATCAAATCCCCTGGGTGGGGCAAGTGCGGAGTAGGTGGGGAGTCTCATACACTCACCATGGTAGACGAGCACACTGGGGACCCCTGGCCCAGCCTCTGAGATGTGGCAGAGCCCCTGGGAAAGAGCGGGCAGGGTGGGGATGACCTGGATCGATCCATCAGGGAGACGCAGGCAGCTGAGCAAGGGCCTGGGTGGGGGCACTGTAAGAGACAAAGACCATGACGTGGGGGCTTCAGGAAACTCTGTGGTTTGTGATAATCTGATTGGTGTTTGACTCCCCCATGGTGCTCTAACCCCCTCCCCCCAGCAGCTGCTGTGACTGTCCTGGGGTCCCTAGCACCTAGAAGAATGCCTAGCACAGAGCAGGAACTTGGGCTGGTGGGTGAACCCTTCATGGGGGAAGGTTTCATGCTCTGTGACCAGCAGGGGCTGAGCTGACGGACACCCTGAAGATGAGACCTGCGGGGGCAGAGATGGGTGTGTTGAAGAGGGACAGATGGTTGTAGTTTCAGCTCCAATGCCTCAGCCACCCGTCCAAGCCCCTAACATACCAGGCATCATGACCATCTCCCCGAGCTGGGTTAGGCTGGGTGCAGGCTCTTGGTTGAGCAGAACTGGCAACCTTGGGCAGGGCAAGGCTGGGGTCATGTTGGGTCCAGCAGGGGGCTCATCTGTGGAGAAAGGGGCCAAGTTGGAGGCTGGGTGAGACCTGGATGAGTGATTGGAGGGGCCTGAGTGGAACGACCTGGGAACTCTCCCCTTATGAACGAAGGGGAACTCCTGTCTCCTTAACTGAAATTGGCATCAGCAGCAGCTGCAGTGCCAGGCAACTACCCAGCCTCTCCTGCCACGGGGTCTGAGAATTCCCCCGGGGTCTTCATGGTCCCCGTGAGCCCCATCAGACTGGGGGTCTTAGAGAGCAGGCTTCCTATTTCCGCCATCAGACTGGAAACCTTGGGGAGCAGGGCTCCTATCTTTCCCATCAGACTAGGGACTTTGGGGAGCAGGGTTCATATCTCCCCCATTAGTTGTGAACTTCCTGAATACAGGGGCCACTTCTCCTGGGGTCTTCATAGGCAGGGGCCCTGCCTCCCCCATGAGACTTCTGGAAGGCCAGGGCCAGGTCTCCTCCATAAAACTCTGAGTCTCTGCCTCTGTCAGCTCCGCACAAGGGGTGGGTCTCTCCACCTTTGCAACGACAAGTGTGTGTGTGTTGGGGGGTGGGGGGGAGGACAGGAAGGATGCATCTGGCGGGAGGAGATGGGTAGCTTGGGGGGAAGGTTCACTGGGGCATGGGGGCTCTGAGGAGGGCAGGTGCGGCTGGTGGCCGGCTGACACCAAGTGAATGTGCCCTTTGAAAGGAGCAATGTGGCAGCAATGGAAAGGGGCAGGAGGCGTCTCTGCTGATTCCAGATCAGGAGTGAGGCTGGATCTCCCAGCAGCCCTTGAGCTGCAGAGCATTGGCTATGGAATCCCAAAGATCAAAGTTCAAATCCCAGCTCCACCTCTCACTAGCTGTGTGACCTTGGGTAAATGCCTCATTCCTCTGAGCTTCTGCTTTCAAATGCCCGTTTGCATGTGCCTGAGGTGGCCCCAGTGTTCCTGGCTCAGAATCTGCCGGGAGTGGGTGTGAGGGCTGGCCTGCTCACCTAGCTTCCTGTGCTTCACATCCACGGGCAGGTCCTCTGGGAAAGCTGCAGAGAGAATGCTAGTTAGTGCTCCAGGGAGCAGCAGCCAAGGGCCATCCTTCCATCCTTCATGGATGACTGGATGTGACCTTGGAGTGTCCCTACCCCATGCTCATCTGTTTGAACCCAGCCCACCTCAAAGATCGAGCGCTGGAAGGGCACAGAAAAGGCAGAACCAGGAAGAGGCTGTGACACACTTTAAAAAAATAATGTGCTTTTTAATTCCTCCTTAGCTGTGTGCCTTTGCAACTTAGCATCTCTGAGCATCATCCGTAATGTGCCCTCATCTGTGAAATGGGTGCACTGATTCCTACTGCACAGGAATATACTGGAAATCAGCTAGTGAGTATCAAGCATGTAGAACATTAACAGGAAACAACCTACTAGTCCCTCAGGGAGGGTCAGGTTAAGTAAATAATTGTTCATTCACTCAACATGCAGGCCTTATAAGGAGCAAAGATTCTGAGTACTTCTGGGGAAGTGTATAGTAACCGCATTTTGCTTTGAAATGTACCAAAAGTAAGGTGGGTGGCTGGGTGGCTGGGTGGCTGGGTGGCTGGGTGGATGGATAAATTAGTGAATGGAAGGATGAGTGAATGGTTGGTTGGGTTGGGTGGGTGGGTAGGTGGATGGATGGTAGATGAATGGTGGATGGATGGATGGTGGATGAATGATGGACAAATGGATAGATGGATGGTGGATGTGTGGGTGGGTATGTGAATGGATGGATGGATAGAGTGAATGGAAGGCTGGGTAATGGTTGGATGGGTGGGGTAGGTGGATGGATGGATGGATAGATAGATGGATGCATGAGTGAATGGTTGAATTGGTGGGTGGATGGATGGATATATGAGAGGATGGATGGATGATGGAAGGATGGGTGAATGGTTGGCTGGGTGGGTGGGTAGGTAGATCAATAGATGGATAGATAGATGGTTGCATGGGTGGATGGTTGGGTTGGTAGACCAATGGATGCGTGGATAGATGAGTGGGTGAGTGGGTAAGTGGATGGATAGATAGATGGATGGACTGATAGACAAAGGGATTTAACAAAAGATAGACAGATGGATATATATGTGATAAAGCAAATTAAGCCAAATATTAGTTGTAGAATCTAAGTGGTAAGTGTATAGGTATTCATAGCACAATTCTTCCACCTTTTCTGAATGTTGGAAAATTTTCATAATGAAATGCTAGAGGAAGAGATTTATTAAATTTTAGGAAAGAAGAAAAGTTGGCCCTATATGCCCCACTTGTGATAAGGGCATGGCTTCCTGGGCACGCTGTATGAAGAAAGCAAGGTGCAGAGAGTGGAAACTGTGGTCATGGGTGAGAGGCGAAAAAGAGCTGGCTTGTCCAGGAGCCATTTCTGACAAAGCACAGAAGGAACTATTAACACTCTTTGTCTCCAGCCAGGGAAGCTGAGCGACTAGAGGACAGAGATTTGTTTTTTCACTCAATACTGTTTTCACCTTTAAAAAATTTTTATACTACCCACCTCATACGACCTGTTGCGAAATAAGTAAATAAACAAGTACAAGGCTTCCAGCTGAGCCTCCAAACCCAGAGCTACTGCTATTATTGATTCAGTGCATTGTACTCAGTCCCAGAGTTCCCGGGACTGTCGATCTCCTCAGCAGCAGAAAGCCTCATCTTCCTCCTGAGGAGCAGCTGGTGGATTTGAACAGCTGATCATGTGGTTAGCAGTCCAGTGTTTATCCTGCAGTGTCACCAGGGATCCTTACAGATGGCCTAGCACATAGTGCTCGATTAACCGCTATCCCCATGTTCTATATGCTTCTGCTGGACACATACTGCCTGAGGTGCTAATACTACATGCCAGGTGCTGTGCTGGGAGCTGGGGATAGAGTGATGAGGAAGGAAGATAAAACGTCTGTCCTTACAGCAGGGGAGCTAGGTAAAAAGCAAGAAAAGGAAGAATCCAGAAGGCAACAAGTCTGCGACACAAGAAAGGCACAAACAGAAATGAGTGAGGTCCTATATGTGGAAAGGATGATCAGGGAGGGCCTCCAGGAGGAAGTGATATTTCAGCCAAGACCTAAAAGATGGAGTTCTGGTTTGATGCTGTAGACTAAGCACTGGACTGTTAACTCCAAGGTTGGTGGTCCAAACCCATCAGCCTCTCCTTGGACACTGAGTTGGAATTGAATCTACAGCACTTAACAACAACAACAAAAGATGAGAAGGAGCCAGTCATGAGAAGATCTGGGAGAAGAACATTCCAGGCAGCACAAAAAGCAGGTGCAAAGGCCCTGAGGCTGGCTGAGGCATGTAGCTGCAGGAATGGAAAGAAGTCAGAGTGGATGGAGCCTAGTTGACTATGGAGAGTTGGTTGGGGTCAGATTCTGCAGGGGCTTGTGGGACATGGTTTGCATTCTGAAAGTTCAAGGTGGTTGTCAGATGAAGACAGATTAGAGAGGCAAGGTAAACCATGCAGGAGATTCAGAGAGGTACGGGAACTTGCCCGAAGTCATCCAGGCTATGATAGATAGATCAGGATTCAAATCCAGTTCTTGCTGACTTCAGAACCAGTGCTTGAAAAGAACACCCTCAAATATAGAGCTGACAAGTAAGCATGAAAAGGAAGCCAGAACCCAAAGGCCCATTGGGAAATGCTAATCTGGGCAGTCAGACAGAGCCCACCAGAGTGGCCATTTGCACCTGTTTCCTTCCTGGTAGCCTTCGCTGCACCTGGGGGCAGCAGAAACACCCACACCCAGGCAAAGTGGATCAGTCTATGGAGGGAAGTAACTGGGAGCCACAGCAGGCTTTGGAGACAAGGAAGGGCCCGCTGTCAAGCAGGGTTGAGGTTGGTCTCACTCACATCTCTTCTGACTTTTCTGCTCTGCTTCTGTTGGTGCCTCCACACTCTCACCAACCACGTCTTCAGATCCCATGTGCTCTACTTCAGAGACAAAACAGAAAGACTGACACCCATCATCAGTGGAAGTCCAAGGCGGGGGAGCAAGGTTCTCATCACCCATGGAGATTTATGGAGCTTCCCAAGGAAGGAAGTGCAGGTTGAGCCCAGAAAGCTCCAACTTACTGAAAATGTCTTTGCTTGGGCTCTCCAGCTGGGAGTCTTGGAACACGTAGTGGTCCAGATCCGCTGCCCAGAGGAGAACAGAGCACAGTCAGCATGGTCAGTCACTGAGGTCTTCCTGCAGTCCTGCTGTGTGCCCAGCTTAGACTAGGCACCGGGGGCCCGAAGCCCTCCAAGCCTGGGACACAGTGTGTGTGGGTGGGGTGCGGGGGCTGATTACATGCTTACTGAGGAAACAGATGATCAAAATAAAGACTGAATGTTAACTCTTCCTGGATTCCTAATCTAACTGAAGGGCTGGGGGAAATCACCCATGGACATTGATCTATTACTACATAGTAGCAAGAGACAGAAGGCCTGGAGTTCAAATTCCAGCAGGAGTCTTCCCCACTCCTAGTAGCTGTGTAACTTTGGGTTAGTTACTTGACCTCTCTGGACCCCATTTTCTCATCTGTGAAATGAAGATAAATACTTTCTATTCAGGGATGGATAATGATTAGTGTTATTCTTGTTAAGTGCTGTCGAGTTGGTTTCAACTCATAGTGACCCTATATTGGGTTTCTGAGGAGCAGCTGGTGAATTTGAACTGCCGGCCTTGCCCTTAAAATGGACCTTTCGGTCCAGTGCATTATACCACAGTGCCACACCAGGACTCTAGGTAATGATTAGACACACTTTTTGCACAGAGAGCATCCAACACAGCAGGTATTCAGCACTTTGCAGTTGTTGTTGGGTGTCACTGAGTTGATTCCAACTCACAGGAGCCTAGACGACAGAGGAGAACTGCCCCATCAGGTTTCCTTTATGGGAGCAGATCATCAGGCTTTTCTTCTGCTGAATCACTGGGTGGGTTTGAACCACTGACTTTTCGGTTAGCAGAAGAGTGCTTAAACATTGCACTCCTAGGGCTCCTTACTCGCAGTTATTCAGTGCCTTCAGGTGGGTTTTGACTCACAGCAACCCTTATATAGGGTTCCCAAGGAGCGGCTGGTGGGCTTGAACCACCGACCTTGTGGCTAGCTGTCCAGTGTTTATCCTACAGTGCCACATTGGGATTCGGTACATAGTGGTTAGTTATATAACGCAGTAGATGGCTAGGAGCCATTGGGAAGACAGTTATCACGGTAAAAGCTAAAGAGAGAGGTATTGTGGAATGGGCAGCCAGGGAAGGCTTCCCAGGCCTTGAAAGATGGGGCAGAGTCTGAGAGGTGGAGAGCAGAGGGCTTTCTGGACAGTGGGGACAGAAGGAGAGAAGGTGTTTACAGTGTGTTTGAGAGGTG